ACTTCCAAAGGTGTGAGCAGCTCTTGGCTTATATATCTATGGTTTCATAGCTCTGCACAGGCCCACCCACCACGCCCCACACTGATATGTAATCCTGTGTGTGTATGCTGAGCTCCGGCTTGTAGCTGAACTCCCTCCCTCTGTCTGAGCCAAGGCACCAGCTAAATGTCACCTGCCTGCCCCCATCCCCTGGTGCATGTGGATGGAAAGGGGCAGCTTGCTGGGACCAGGTGATCCGTGCTCTATGGTCCCTAGAGCAGGTAGGGACAGGAGAGGGGACAGGAGTGTGTCAATCCCAGATATCCCTGCTTTTAAGGGGTCTTTCACTCACATTTTCTGTTGCCCACCATGGGGAGAACAAGGCACAGTGAAGACATTTTTTGGTCACCCAGAAGAGCCCCACAGTAGCAGGTTATGCTTGGGACTGCTCAGGGTGGGATTTCAGTTCCCCCACCCTCTCCTGATGGATCAGACACTGACCAGCCTGGGCTACTCATCCCACACTGGTGGCCACCGCAGCACAACAGCAGTTTCACCAGTGACACACTGGGGCTTGGCAAGGGGAGGGGGCTCAGTCTGGCAATGTATTCAACCCAGCTCAATAAACCATGTATTAAATAACTACAGGCTGGTGGTCTCTTATGCTGTTTAAACAGGGGCCATTCCTGAAGGCCATGCTCGGAGCACACTTCCAGGATGAGCCCAGTTTGAATGTTCTCACCCCAATCTTATTGCACAAACTCACTGTGCCTATTGACTCACCCCCAATGATGTCTGAATCATAGAGTGCTTTGGGTTGGGAGGGACCTTAAAGACCATGTCTTTCCAACCCCCTGCCATGGGTAGGAACACCTTCTACTAGACATGGGTGTTTGAGATGATTTGACCTGTTTTGAGTCAATATGGGAGATGTGCTCCAAGGTGTTGGCACGGCACCTTCTCCCATTTCTCGTGGACTGTTTGATGTCTGCTCCTGGTCTCCCATTGCTGAGAGGTCAGGAGACCATCTGAGGAGGTCCAGCCTGGAGGAATGGTCAGGGAGGGAAGGGGCGATTGTACCTTACAGCAACAGATCAAGCTTCCAGACCCGCAGTCTGGACGGCAGCCTCCAGAAAATTGCCGAAACCTCATTAGCAGCACTTAATTTCCCCACAGAGGTGCTCCACGCGGCCACTCTCCTGCAGCCCCGTGGGGGTGCTGCCTGGCTGTTCCATCGCCCTGGCCCCCAGGTCCCACTCCCCTCGCCTCCCCGCACCGCCCCCCCGCTCCCGCACCGCCCCCGCACCGCCCGGTGCCGCCGCGGCGGGACCGCCCGGCCCGGGGCTCCTTGGGAGCGGCCGCACCAACAGGTGGGGCCGAGCACGATCGCGGCCGAACCGCCGCGCACCGCAGCGGCACCAGCACCGCACCCGCACCGGCACCGCGCCCTCACCCGCACTGGCACTGAACCCGCATCCGGAGCCGCCCCGGACGAGCCGGTAAGGGACCCCCGGGGCTTCGGGGCGGCGGGGGGCGGCGGAGGGCGGTCGTGCCGCCTGCCGGGGTCCCGGCTCAGGGCGGGGCAGGAGGGCGGGTCGGAGCATCGCCCCCGCACACCCCCGGGGTCCCGGAGGCTGCTACTCCTCAGAGCCCCTCTGAGCCCTTCCAGGCGGTGAGAACCGGCATCGCATAACGCGCCCTCATTCCCCCGGAGAGACGGAGCTGGCGGAGCCCGGTACCTTTCGTAGGGCCAAGAGGAATTCCCGGGAAGCAGAACTTCATCTCCTCTGGCAGAGCCCACAGTGCCCCAGCCCTGGGCAGGGCCACGGGCTAAACCACGGGCAGCATCCACCCGGTATGAGCATCCCTCAGGTATGAGCATCCCTCGGGTGTGAGCATCCCCCTGTGGTACCCTGAGGATGCTCACACCTGAGGGATGCTGCTGTTCCCAGGGGAATGCCATTAGGGGGACAACAACTCAGTGCCCCTAATGACATCACCATGGGCCATTTAATTCCCAGGTGAAAGGCTCCCTTGGTCTCTCACCCTTCCCTCCAATGAGATTTCTTCCCCCCAGGCTGGCCAAGGCAGCAGGAGAGGTGTGAGCAGCACCAAAGGCAGAGGAAAGGTGTCCCACCTGCTTCACCTCTTGCCTTGCCCCTGACAGCACTGGGGTGTCCCTTGGGGTTTCCACATCACCCCCTTTACTGTGATAGTGGCTCCTCTCTTCACGTCCAGCCCCCAGAATCAGGCTATCAAACCTTACTCTTTGTTTACTTTAAAAAGCAAACTCATCTCCAAACCCTTCTTTGGCAAAACCCTTGGAAATGTGACTTTTACCAGCTCATGGACCAGAAGGGGAGGGAAAGCAAAAGAGCTCCACATTTTGTTATTTAAAACCCTGGTGGTGATTAAGTCAGTCTGATGATCCGTGCAGTCTGACTCATCATTTTTTTTAAACACTCAGTGTTGGTAAGATAGGAATTTACTGCTGCTTCTGCACCACATCGCCCCTGGAAACTGGCAGCAGGATGGGGCAGAGGCTCCCAGGCTGGACCTGCCTCCACACCTCCTTCCTGCAGCACCCTTTGTCCACCTGTGTGGTCTCTGCAGAGATGGGGGCAGGGGGCAGGGGTTTCACTCTCTGCATCTCTCTGTATAATTAAACTTAGGCCAAATTAAGCTGTTCTGGACAAGATGGTAGCCAGTGTCACTCCACCCTTGTTTTCCAAGCTCCTGAGCCCAGCCTCCCACCCCTTTGCCAGGGCACATCACACATGAGCCATACACAATGTTCCAGGAAATAATGCCGTGTCATATCCCCTCCACCCACCGCTTCCCTCCAGCGATGGGAGAGGCTTTGCAGGAGCGCCGCGGGGCCGCCCTGCTGCTCAGGAGCTGCTGCCGCCCCCGGGGAGTTGCCGGCAGCCACGCTGAGCTGCCCGGCTGCAAGATGACCTTCACCACCACCACACCGGCCGCCAGCGTGGCCCAGGCTTTCTTCTGCCTTCTGCTCTGCATCCCCTGGGGCAGCTCCTGCCCCCCCAGCTGCCAGTGCACGGAGCGGGCAGGGGCAAAGGCCGTCCTCTGCAGCTCCCGGCACCTGGAGGAGATCCCCAAGGACATCCCCAGAGACGCGGTGTTCCTCAAGCTGGATGCCAACAGCATCACCAGGATCCCCAGCAATGCCTTCAGGCACCTCTCCCACCTGGAGGAACTCGATCTCTCCAGGAACGCCATTGAGAAGATCGACAGAGCAGCTTTCAAAGGGGTGGCAGCAGGGCTGCGGACCCTTGACCTCTCCAGCAACCGCATCCGCAGCATTCCCAAGGAGGCCTTGCTGGCACTCAATGCCAAGCTCCGGCTGGCCAACAACCCCTGGCACTGCGAGTGCGCCTTGCAGGAGGTGCTGTGGGAGGCACGACTGGACCCTGACTCTGTCCAGGACATCACCTGCCACACGGCCCCCCGGGAGGAATACGTGGGCAAGCCGCTGCTCCAGGTCCTGGATGCCGGCGTCAACTTCTGCAGCGTGCGCCAGAGGACCACAGACGTGGCCATGTTCATCACCATGTTCGGCTGGTTCGCCATGGTCATCGTCTACGTGATCTGCTACGTCCGGCACAACCGGGAGGGCGCCTGCAAGCACGTGGGTTACCTGAAGTCACTGCCGAGCACCCAGGGCCACGCAGAGACCACCAGCACTGCCCTGTAGTGCGGGGTTGGGGGGCCAGCTCACAGCTTCTTTGCAGGGAGCCAGCGGCCAACTTGTGGGCTTCAAAGCTTCTTGGTGGGATTCCCCCAGTGCTTGCTCCAGTCCTGCACACAAGTGCCACCGACCGCCCCTCCCCAGCAACACTGCACCGAGCGTGAGCAAAGGACACAGGGGAGGGATGGTGGGGACACCTCACGCAGACCTGTCCACAGAGACCATGTTCCTGCGGGTGAACGCTCCCGGCCAGACCCTTTTTCCCTGCCAGAGCTGGGCTCGCAGGGAATGCAGCCCCAGCCACACACTCGTAGTTTGCACAGGTCAAGCCCCTGGTGGGAAGAGATGGGGGTGGGGGTTTGTGGGGCCAGGAGGTCCCTGGGGTGCCGAGGGTCACTGCAGTGGGGTCACCCCATCCTGGCTCCAAGCCTTGCAGAAAGCAGGACATCATCCCCAAGGCCCTGCATGGCATCTCAGCAGCCTCTGCCTGCCTCCAGCAACCTGAGGGGGGGGATCTCCCAAACCTTTGGCTCCTCAATAAAGACCCGCACACAGGAAAAGCCCCAGGGTTTGTGCTACTCTGGGAGCTGGGTGTCTGGGGCAGAGGGTGGTGCTCGGGGGGTTTGATCTTGTCCTATTTCAATCTCTCCCAAAGCAGACCAGCCTAAATTCAATGTAGCACCATGACTTCCATTAGGTGCCATCCCTTCCACCCTCAGCCCAGCCTGGCTCAAGCAGGGACCAGCTGCCCAATGCATCTGGTACATCTTGCCTTATCTTTCCCTTTCTCAGAGCTGAATTAGAGTTGCTGCCAGTGGCTTGGCGTGATGGAAGCAAATCAAATTTTCCCTCGTCTCACAAGCAAGAAATGGTCCTTCCTGGCAGAGCCAGGTGCAGCTGCAATGAACAGGGGGAGGAGGAAGGGATGCAGAGGCTCTCTCAGGTCTGTACCCTGGGGCAGCTCAAGCTGTGACTCCTCAGTCCTTCTTGCAGGGTTGGCACATCCTGAGGGCTCTGCAGCTCCAGGGTGGGGGGCCCAGCTCCAGCAGGAAACCTGGGCCTGGAGAAGACTGAGTGATGCTCTGGGACAGTCAGGTGAGGCAGAGGATCCTGGGTGGGGGGGAACAGAGGGGCACCCTCACCCCCGCACACTGCTGTGCTCAGGGCCACCTCATCCTCATGGACATGGACATGGCCTTGCCTCATCCGGTGGTGACTTGTTGGGTGAGGGATGCCTCTGCCATGGGCAGAGCAGTTTGGGTACTCACATGGGATGAAGGCTGGGTGCACACAGTTTATTAGAGCTCTGGTTAAGCAAAAGAGTCCCCAAGCAAAGGCGAGGAAAAGAAAAGAGGCCACAGTTTCACCTGGCGCAGTTTCCCATGCCCGTGGTAGCTGGATTTGTCCAAATGCATAGCAGGTTTTCTCAGGAGTCACTAACCCCAGGCAAAGGTGTGCAAGGACCAGCAGTGGTCCTTGTACACACTGACGGGCTTGTACAACACACACATCACATGTCAAGGACAACCCAAACCAGCCACAGCAGAGTGGCAGGGGGGGAAGGCACCCGCAGCAGTGTCTAGGGGTGGTGATGCCACCAAAGGTGACACCAAGAGTGGCTGCAAGGTCAAACCAGATGGTCCTCAGCAGCATCGCAGCACCAGGCACTGGGCAGCCAAAGCCAAGCCTAGACCAACCTTTTTCCGCAGTTTCTCACATGTTTACTCCCCTCCGCCATGCACCCACCCTGCCAGCTCATGCTCTGCTCAGTCTCTTCCTTCCCTGGCTTTGTGCAACCTCTGGCCACAGCCACTGGCACCTCTGGGTCCCTCCTGGCTGGAGACTGCCAAGTGTCAGGTCCCAGCGAGCCCTGGGAAGCACCTGGGCACCAGGAACCTTGTGTAGGACATGGCTCTGGAGCATGGTGGGAGAGCTTTCCCAGGAGAAACAGCACCAAAGCAGGGTCTCATCCAACCCCCAGACAAGGCTGCAGGGAGCCCTGGTGCTCCCTCCTCCTCCTCCTTCTCCTCCTCCCCTTCCTGCAGAGTGCACAGCCAGCCACTGCCCGTCTGACACTGCAGCCGTTCCTGGGCTCTGCGGTCCATCTTCACCTGGATGCCCAGCTCACCCCCGTCCTGGTGATGAGCTGAGCATGTCTCAGCCACCTCAGGTGGTTTTCAGCTTGAGCACCTTGGAAAGCGGCTCCTTGGCGCTGGAGTAGAGCAGGTAGGAGCCCTCAGCAGTGTGGAACACCTCCCAGTCCCTGCAGCCGACGGTGGGGAGGTGGTGGGCTGCCACAAAGCCTTCGTAGCCTTGCCACCTGCACGGGAAGGGCAGTCAGCTCCCGGGGCACGAGCTGGGCACCTGGGAGGGGCAGGAAAGCCGAGCCCTGGGGCTGGCATCTCCCACTTCCACCCTGTTTCAGGGTGGGATGTCCTTCACGGGGGCTCCTCATTTCTGCCTGAAAGCAGGGAGCAGTCCTATCCATCCTCCCCGGGCAGACGCACCAGGTTACACCCATGCAGGGTCGTTCCTGCTGGGAACAACGCCCAAGCTCCCCAGCCCTGCCCCCTGCAGTACCTGTAGATAATACTGTTAACGGAGAAGGTGAAGCCATCGAAGGAGTTTGCTACCACCAGAAAAGAGTCGTCTCCCACCGAGAAGAACTCCCAGTCCAGGGCACTGGGCATGAAGAAAGCAGAGGGGCAGGTGAGGTGGCCCCTGTGTGGCCAGCTGAAGAAGGGGCTGTGTGTCCGTGGGGCTGAGCCCACCCCACTCCAATCTCTGCCACCCTGATGACACACAGAAAACCCTGCTCTTCCCAGGCTGCTCCTGAAAGAAATCCAGCCTTGTTCCCAAATCCAGGGCCTTCCCCCAGCTCCCACTGGGATTTGGTGCCAAGGAGCTGTCACCCATTGCCCTCCCCACCAGTCTCAGTCACTGGCAGTGTGAAAACCTGCAGGAACCCTCCTGGAGACAAGCGAGTGCAGTTTTAACTGAAAGAGGGGAGGCCCTGGCACAGGTTGCCCAGGGAAGCTGTGGCTGCCCCATCCCTGCAAGGGTCCAAGGACAAGTTGGACAGAGCTTGGAGCAACTGGATCTAGTGGAAGGTGTCCCTGCCCATGGCAAGGAGGTTGGAATGAGATGATCTTTAAGGTCCCTTCCACCCCAAACCATTCTATGAGTCTATGAGACCTCTGGGCTGCTCAGGGGAAGGACATGGACTGAGGAGCACCCTGACTGCTAGTAAAGGTACCTGTAGGTGAGAAGGTCCTGGAATTTAACAAACATCTGAGCGGTGATGTTCAGCTCATAGATGGACGAGTTGATGGCGTAGAAGTTGGAGGGCGCTGGCATCCCACTGTCATAGCTGTGGCTGTTGGCAACAGCCAGGAAGACTCTGTCCCCAATATGAAAAACCTCCCAGTCGGCAGCACCAAATGTCTGTGGGGAGGGAGACCATGAGACAAGCTGGCTCATCTAAACCCAGAGGGGGACTGAGGAGCCACAGGCAAGCCTTACCAGGATAGACTGGAAGAGCTGGAAAGAACCACTGAGCCAGATGTAGATGTGTGAGTAGATCTTAGTGGATGTGCCATTGAATGTGTTAGCTACAGCCAAGAAGGAATACGGTCCGATGGTGAAAAATTCCCAGTCGTAGGCTCCAGAGGTAGGAATGGTCTGGTTAGTTTCAAACAACCCTGTCCTGGAGTTCCACCTGTATATCACACTATCTATATTGTGGTTGTTCCCTGGGGAAGACAGATGGACAGACATGCACCATGAGGGAAAGGGATACCTGGCTTGTTTAAGAAACAGGTTCAGCCACATGAATTTTTGCCAGCATATCACCTGTTGCTGCCCAAGAAGTAGCTGAAGAGATTCTACAGCCTCCACCCCTACCTAGTGTCTCCATTCCCATCTAGAGCCTCAACCCCTTCCTAGAACCTCCATCCCTAACCAGAGCCTCCATTCCTGTCTAGAGCCTCCATCTATACCTAGAGCCTCTATCCCTTCCCAGAGCCTCCATCCCTACCTAGAGCCTCCATCCCATGGCACACACCAGCAGCTTGTCCTGAGCATACGGTGGCAGCTTCGTGGCAGCCCTGGCAGAGGAGGGACAGGGGGGTGCCATGTCCCCACAGGAGCAGTAGCCCAGAGGCACCGTGCCGGTGTCCCAGGGCAGCCAAGTTCTGCTGGCTGTCCCAGGGGGTGGCTCTGTGTGATGGGGCCAGTCCCAGCCACGTCCCTCAGCTCCCGGCATCGCGGGCTGCCCCCCAGCACCAAAGCATGTGCTCCATCCAGCTCCTGGGCTCTGCTCGAGCATCTCGACCCCACACCTGTGTGAGACCCAGCTGGCTTTGAATCCTCATTGCAGCAGAAGGGACTTGGGCAGGAAAGGCTGCAGGGAGAATGTGTGGGAATGGCCACATGGATAAGTGGCAGCTCTTCAGGGACTGACCATCCACCTGCCTCCAAGGGAAACATCCCCAGGTTGGCTTAGCCATGATGGTCTTAACCCCTGCATGCATGTCTGATGGAGGGCCCACACTGCCATGGGAGTAGGTCTCATCCAAACTGGCTATGGTGGGGTCCAACAGGTGACACATGGAGTTTCCAACCCAGTTCACAAGCGCCCAAGGAACCTGCCACCAGCTCCAAGCCTGGTGCCAGAGGAGCTGATTTCCCTGGAGCCAGCCCTGATGGCAGGGAGAGAGCCCATCAGCTCAGTGTTTTGAACCCAGCTGGGAGCATCCTGGAGAGCCAGGGCTGTGCTGTCGACCCATTCATCCCTCCATGCTGAGGAGTGCATGTCCCAGCCCAGTACTATTCAGAGCCTGGGAGGGGGAATAAGGCTGGATCGTGTCTGCAGGGTGCCTGTGGAGGGAGGGAAGGATGTCAGCAGGCTCTCACTCAGCTTCACTCAGTTTCCCATGCGCAAAAGGCTCAGCCTGGGGCGCTACCAGGCTTTGTAGCATTGGGGATAAAAATGAAAAGAAGCAGAGAGATTCAGTGCAGACACTGTCCCCACTCTTGTCCTTTTTTCTGCTGTCAGAAACCTAGAGGGGGACCGCATCAGCCACTTCCCCAAACGCTCTTCTCCCCTATAAGGGTAGGGTCTGCATGGCTTCAGGCTTCCTGAGGGGCACCACGCTCCCAGCTGCGTGCACATCTCCCTGGCTTTGCCCTGCACTCCGCTCCAGCAGAGGATGCACAGGGAGCCAGGGGGTTTCCACAGCAACCGGAGGATGCTCTGAGCAGGTCCCTGTGGCGGGGCACTTGCCGTGGTCCCAGATGTCACCCCAGGGAATATGAGGGCTGGGTACCTTCTCTGTGGTTGACCACAGCGAGGAAAGCCTCTCCCTCAATGACAAAGGCCTCCCAGTCCCTGGCGCTGTGCGTGGTGATCCGCTGGTACGTGATGAATTTCGCTTTCCTGCGGCTCCACTTGTATATTACAGAGAACTCCTGACCCCTCTCATTCTGCTCAAAATTCGCCACTGCTAGGAAGATCTGAAAAGGAACAAGCCAGGACAGCTTGATTTTCTCCTCTCAAAGGAGGATGAGCAAGAATGAGCACGGGGAGGTGGGATGGGGGACCAGGGATGAGGTGGCTATTGTAGGACGAGGTGGCCCTGGCTGGGGTCCCTAAGCAGCCCCCAGGCAGCACAGTGCACTCAAAGTGGGGACAGGGACCCAGTGGCCTGTGGGGGTGTTTGTGCATGGCAGGGACACAACTCTCAGTCACAGTCTCTTAGACAAGGGGAGGGAGAGCTGAGCTGTGTCTGCTTGTGCCTCACCAGCCTCAGGAATGGGGAGCATGGACGTGAAATGGACTGGGGAGGGAGGGAGGTTCAGGCTACTAAACCTTCCTGTAAGGAAAGGTGGCTTAGAAGAAAAATCACAGATATGATAGCAATGACAATAATGATAACAATTCCCTGAGACAAAACATTTTCCAGACCAAGGAACCCCTGTGCAAATGTCAGGGTCAGCTGTGGTGCAGCAGAGGTAGCCAAGTGCAAGGTGGGGAGCACATCCAACCTCTGTCATGCTGCCTCCACCATTCCAATGTCTTTCAGATGGAGTGGCAGAGGTTTTGCCCCAGTTTAGGCCACAAAGAGGCAAAGGGCCACAGCCCACAGGGAGGAAACCATCAGTGGGGAGGTCTCCTGCCTCCTGCAGGACCCTGCTAGCACCAACCAAGGAGCAGCCACCCCCAGCGACAGGGCTGTGCTGGGTCCCCCCATTCCCTCAGGGAAGATGCATCCCCAGCACTGCTCTCTCTGAGAGCCCCAGTCGAGGGAGTCCCTTTGGGGCATCTCTAGAAACAGCTTCAGTAGGAAGAGAGACACCTGGATCCATCCCCACAACTCAGGAGTCTGCAATCCCTTGGCCTCCACTGACAGGGGCCAACAGAGCCCACGCTGCCCTCGGGGCTCTTCACCTCATCCTGGTGGAGCACCAGCAGGTCCTGGTGCAGTAACAAGGTGCTGACACCCACAGAGGTGCATCCCAACTGCAACGTGTGCAGGGAACCTGGGCTGCTGTGGAGACCTGTACTGCTGCTGGTGTAACACCTCTCTGGCCATCGTCTCCATGCAGAAGTGTGCCAAGCATTGGGTTTATCTGCTGATGGGAACCACCTTGAGAACTCTAGGGAGTTCCCATCTGCTGCCTGTGAGGGTGCAGCGGAGTGATGGAGAGCAGTGTTGGGGATGCCAGGCATGTTCCCAGCACTGCAACACAGCTGCACTTTCAGGGCCTGACCGGGTTTTCTGCAGGACCCCACCATCATGTTCCCCTTCTACCAACAGAGGACAGGGCCGGTTTGTATCCAACCAGCAGGGCTGTTGGTACCACCAAGCCTGGAGGTACCCATCCCTCTGTACCCTGGAGGATATGGTTGGCAGTGGAGGAGCCCTGCAGCCACCCTGGTGACAAAGCCAGAATGGGTCATTCCAGAGGGGAAATGATCCCAGCTCCCCAGGAGCCCAGCACAGAGCTGGCTCTCAGCAGGTGGCTTGCCCAGGGCTCCTCCAAAAGTGATAAGCTTCCCAGGGAAAGGAACCAGGCAGATACTCTTCACAAGTCCCATGGCAGACTGCCCAGGGGAGCAGAGGTGACTCCAAAGTCCCAGAATGATTTAAAAGCATAAAAGCTTAAAAATGCAGGAGGTTGAACTCAGCGGGTCTCGGGAGGGAGCTGCAGGCTCTGATGGCTCTCTAAGACCACAGGTAGATATCTCTGCCAGCATCAGGTGCTGGAAATGGCCTGGGTGGATGTAGCTGTGCCTCACACAGCAGGCAGCCCACAGATGAGCCAGCAGTCCCTGGAGAGACCTTGGTCAGCTGAACATGTGTATCAGTGTGACTCCATCAAAGAGAGAAGAGAGAAAGATTCACTCCCTAAACTATGCCCAAGACTCTGGGCTTCAGAGAAGCCAGCGTTGGGCAACTGCATTTTAATGTACTGAAACATGGAGGCACCTTCCAGGCAGACTCACCTTCTTCCCAATGGTGAAATACTTCCAGGACTGAGCTTGGTAGGTGCGGATGTTCTGGTAGGGCACAAACTTCCCATCGGTCCATTTGTAGATGGCCGATCCTGGCGGGGTGATCCTGTTGGCCGTGGCTGCGAACAGTCCCACCTTTGGGATGGTGAAGATCTCAATCCCCATCGTCTCTGAGCTGGTCACCAGGTTCTGGTATTCCTCCACATAGTCCAGCCTGTGCTTGACTGGGAGAACACAAAGAAAAGGGGTGAGGTTAAAATCCGATAATTTTGGCTGGAGAGAGGCCTCGTGCCGGTTTTGTGGCACTTGCTGCTGTGTGGAGCTTCATGGGGGAAGGGAAGGTCCTGGTGTCACTGGGGGTGAAGGGCCAAACCAAGGGGGTGGTAAAAGGACTGACTCCACCCTGATGGGCAGCACATCCAGCCCCATCCATCCCTGCCTGTTCCCCAGTGGAGGGCAGGGCTGTCTCCCCTGGGAGCAGGGAAGAACGCCACGCCGTGGATTTTGATCACTTTGATATATTTATCCTCAAAAGACCAAGGAGGAGAGGAAGAGACCTACAGTGCACTGGGCTGCTGAGACCAGCCAGGTTAGCCCACCCTCACCTGCAGCAACCCTGCCCAGTTGCTGGCTCTGGCTGGAGTCAGCATGAGCTCTGGGAGAGGTTAGAGAAGACTCAGACAGAATTAATGCCAGAAATAGGAGCAGAAACCTCCAGAGTTGCCCCAATGGCAAATGGCTGGGCTCAGTGGCACCAAGGGGCACAGGTCAGTAAGATCCCAGCATGTCTCCTTGGGGAAACAAGGACACGGTGCCAATCTGTACTGATGACTTCCAGAGGCAGGGAAGGATAGGGGATCCAGCGACTGCCAGTTCCTGTGGGGAGCAAATGGCTCATCCAAACCCACCCAGTGGATATCAGCAGAAGAAAAATGCTGGAAGAGGAGTGAAGGGAAGCACGGTTTGGCTGACAGCATATCCCATACCCCATGTCCTCTCCAGGAATCCTGGGGAAACTGCCTAGAGTGAGTGGGAGAGTGCCAGTGCGTGAAATCCATGTCATTATTGAATAACATCCATCCACCCGGGCTCTGGTTGTTTTTTTTCACCTTGGTGCTCCCACTGTTTCCCCTCACAAAGTGTCCCAACAGAGCCGGGACAATGTGGGGACCTGCCTCTGCCACCCTCCCAATGCTGCCCCAGTATTTCTGGCAGCTGATGAGTCTCTCTGCTCCTCCTTGTCCAACACACAAGCACTTCAGCACCAGGAGCACCACAGCCTTTGGGAAGCCATGGCAGGGAGCACAACACCCTGAACATGGCTCTACACGGGGTGAGCTGTCCTGCTCCAACAGACCAGGAGCTCATCCCGCCCTGAGAAGCCCCAGGAGAGATGGATAAGAAGAAGGTGGATGGACCACAGAGGCACTTGAATCAAGAGCTGTTCTGGAAGTGCTGGTGGGGGCACCGAGAACAAAGCAAAGCCTGGTCGAGCAGGGGAGGGGCAGGGGGCAGGTCCCCTCACTCTGCTGCTGATTCCCATCCCAAAGTTGTCTCAAGAACAAATGTCAGCTCCTGCTCTGCTGCAAGAGCCTCCCTCCCTCCCTCCCAAAGAGTGCCAGCACCTCCCCAGCAGTACCTTCCAGCATGGAGACCCAGGTGCTGCCGTTGCAGAGGTACAGCCCTCGTCGGGAGGTGTTGAACCAGAACTGCGCCTTCTCCTGCTTGGTGCAGCGTGGACGGGACCCCAGGGTCACCTTCGTGTCAGTCTCTGGCCACGAGATGAGTGAGGCAGGAGCCTCTTAGCACACACAGTGGAGGAACAGAGAGGTAGGAGGGTTGGATGTCCTGGTCTCATCCTGATGACGGGCACCAGGGAATGGGGGAAATGGCAACCCAGTGCCAACCTGGGAAGACACAGACTGGGAAAAGCCTGTGTGGGGCCACGGACATGAGCCCAGTGCTGCTAAGGGACCCGGGCAGGAGCACCCTGTCTCTCCAGGGGAGTTTTGGACAGAGATCCCATCCCACGCATTGAGAAACAGAGGGTGCTGGTGACACCTTCTTCCCCCCTGCTCCTGCTCCGTGCTCTGCCACACACAAAGGTCTTTCCTCACAGAGGCAGGGGTGGCCGACAGAGGCACTGGGGGGCACTGACCGTAGGGGTATTTGAGCACCTCGTTGCTCCCTGGCTTCATGGGGACATCCTGGAGGATAGTGGGGACAGAGAGCGTTGCTACTTTGAAGTTCATGGTGGTGCATATCCGAGGGGTGGCATCGGCTCCGGGTAGCAGGACAAGCTGTCTCAGCAAGCCCTGGGAAAGTGGGAGCAGCGGGATGGAGAGCAAGTCCAGCAAGACCACAGAATGGGAACTGCAGGTGATTCACACCTAGGGTTTTCTGCCCGATTATCAAATCCCATATGCCCAGCTCAGGCAATCTAACAGCTGGTGTGAGGGGAGCATTGACATGGGGCTCAGAGCTGCAGCTGCCTTTCACTGCCTCCACAAGGACCCACAGCTACCTCTGCTTCCTGCCCTGCCACTGTAGGGGGCTGAGAGGGGGCTGTGGGTCGCCCCACGGCCACGAGCACCCCCGGGCACCCGTGGGCACCCCACACCATGGGTCACCTACCGTGAACACGCCTTTCCTTCTCCGCCTGTTGCCCAGGTAGAAGCTGGCTCTCCTCACCGACAGCGAGGCTGGGAACGGCGTCTCCACCACCCTGGGGATGGGCAGAGGAAAGGCAGGGACAATTTCATGGCATTTACTGATGGCCCGGGGAGACGCTGGTGGAGGAACACCACCCTGCCCACCCTTCTGAACCCCCCGCCGCTGCCCCCAACCTACACATCCTTGGGGATGCTGCAGTCCACCGTCAGGGAGAAGGACTGGCCGGAGACAGCCAGGACGAGCGTGTGCCACTGGCCGTCGGAGAGGGAGACGTTGGGGAAGGTGACGCGGGTCTGCCAGCCGCCGGCGCGCTCCTGGCTCCAGAAGAGGAAGTGGAGCTTGTCGGGGGCGTAGCGCAGCCCTACCAGCACGCCGGGGCTCTCCTCCGCCATCAGCGTGAAGATGTACTCGTTCCTCTGCGGGAGGGCACGGGCTCACGCCTGCCTGCCGCGGGATGCGGGGCCGCGCCCTGCCCGCGCCCTGCCCGCGCTCACCTTGGCGGGGACGCCGAGCACCCTCAGCGTGACGATGATGGAGAACTCCTCGGGGAAGCGGTCGCAGTGGATGAAGAGCCGGGAGGCGGGGAAGCCCAGGGCGCGGGGCCGAGAGGCGGAGAGCTGGAAGCCGCGCAGCCCCTGTACCTGGAACACCCGCACGCCGCGGGCCAGCGCGCCGGCCGGCACCACCTCCGACAGGATGTCCAACGGGCGCAGGTCTGTGCCGAGGGACAGCGGAGCAGGTCACAACGGTGAAAGCCATCCCACCCTGTCCCACTGTGGGATGGGGCCCCCACTGCGCTGGCTGAGGTGCCCCGTGGCAGCAGGATGGCTCAGTGTGCCCCAGTAGCCTGCTGGCCCTTGCCTGGGGTCCACCCCGAACCCCTGCTTTGGGGCCAGAGGGAACACTTGCCCTCCAGAGACCGAGGCTGGCATTTCCATCCCCACAGCAGGAACACCGGGTGTGCAGAGCCATCCCACTAATGCAGCTCTGAATGCTGTCACCGGAGCTGGGACTTGCCAGCCAGGCAGCCCCGGCTTCCTCGGGATACACCAGCACCAGCAACTGCAGCCAGAACCAGGAGAGCAGGCAGGGGTCCAACACTGTGGGCTTGCTTATGGGGCAGCCCCCCCTCCCCATCCCTGTCCCCAGGGCCATGGGCAGAGCTCTACCCCTCAGTCCTGGTTCAGGCTGTCCCAACCCAGCCCTAATTGCACACACGCACACATACTCCCCCAGCAGGCACCAAAACCACTCATTATAAATAATTAATCTCTCTCCAGAAAAGAAAACAACGTGCCCAGCCCCAGGGCATCACCCCAGTGAGAACACACCGTGCATGGGCACCACAAAGTGCCACCCCACAGAGCAGTGCCAGGGTGACCGTCGGTCTGATGTCTCAGCAAGCCCCGAGCCGGCAGCCACAGGAAGGGCTGTGCCTGCTGTGGGGGCTTCTCCGACCTTCCTGGCCTTGGCACCCTCCTGTTTTTACTTTTGAATGCTTCCCTGGCAGACCTGCATCATCTGCAAAGAAGAGCGATGATGCCCAGGGGATGAAGCAGCACTTGGCTACACTAAAATACCCCTGATTTCATCCCAACCCCACTGAGACTCAGCTTTTAGCTCCAATTTGTACTAATAAATCCCGGCTGCTGGGGCACAACAGGAGAGCTGGGAGGGAGGGAAATGGGAGCAAGGCTGGGCCATGTATCTGAATCCAAAACAGCTGGAGAAGGGAAGCGCTTCCTCCTGGCACCCCTGGCCAGCCCAATTCCAGGTGGGCAGAGCAAAGAGGAATCCGATTCATTCAGCCCAGAGCAGAGAGATCGGTGAGATCTTTCCCACCCTGGCAACTTTGCGTGTCCCCTGCTTGCCCCACCACTGGTTTAAGCTGCTCCTAAAGCAAAGCCTCCCAAAAGTTGGGGGAGGTTTAACTCAAACAGCTTATTTCAGAAACACATCACTCTTGGAATGGCCAGTTTCCGTTTTTCCCAGCAAAAAGTACAAGCTGAACTCAGGCTTGGATTTGCAGGGGGGTTTAGGAGCCCTCAACTGCCCCTGGGGTGGTGGGGATGAGCCGGGAGACAGGTCAGGTGGGGCTGGAGGCTGCGGGCCAGGAAGGGACCAAGTCCTAAAACCAACCCCAAATCTCTAAACCCAAAGATGTACATCCCTGTCTGCCTCCCACATCTGCCACTGCTAAGGCTGGGAGAGCAGCTGGGGTGCTCCAGTCCAGCTTGGGCAGCACATGTGGTGCCGGGGCACCTTGTGCTGGGGTCCTCAGCCTTGACATCCCTGGCAGGGACATTCCCAGAGAGACTCGAGCACCTCAGGGAAGAGGCAGAAACTCTCCAATCTCTCCCAGTTGTCCTTCTCACATCATCTGTGCTGTAATAAAATGCAAATACAGGCACCATCAAACTGGGACAAACCCCAAACACACAGAGCCTGGGCCCAAGCAGCCCCAAAAACTGAGCTCAGGTTTCACTGCCTGCACAACACAGGGACGGGGATGGGATGGCAGAGCCAGGGCATGGGGATCCCCTTCAGCTCAGGCTCCTCTTGGAAATACCATTGGAGCTGCCAGCTCCTTGGCTGGGGGCAGTGGGACAGAGACATTTACTCCCAGAGGATGCAGGTTGTGCCTGTCAGAGCGCAGGAGAGTCTGGGGCAGGAGGGACTTTCCAAGGGGACTTCATGGCTCACTTCTCCTCTTTCCAGCCCTTCCCCTCTCATGTTGTCCACAGGGCCAGCAGACCTTGGGACAATGCTTGTGCACAGGCACACAGGTCTCTCCACAGCTCTGAGAGGGTTGCTGGTGGGGGCTGCAGGTGCAGGAATGATCCCACTACCCGCTGTCCCTGGGTGCTGGCTGAGTGCTGGAAGCTGCAGCACCTGAGGCATAACAAGCACCTGGGCGCTGGAATCCTGGGGCTGGGCTGCCAGTGAGAGGCTGACCCACCTGAGGCATCCCCCCCAAAACAGAGCACATCTTCTGGGGTCTGCCATGGCAGTGCGGGGAACAGCCCATCCATGGGAGCACGTTTCCCAGCAGGGCTAACACCTGTCTCGACACCCCCCTCGCAGTGTGCAGCCCACCCACCCCCTGCCCTTCGCTCCTACCTGTGCAGTGCTGCCACGTCCTGCCTCCTCGGATGAAGCCCCCACCGCTGGCCCAGCGGAGGAGGATGACCCAGAGCAGCAGTGGAGCCGACATCGGGGGGGTTGGTCTCAGGGGGTCCATCCACCGGGACACCCCTGCTGTCCACTCCTTCCTGCCCCGGCAGGCGCTGCTCGGCTCAGCTCCCCGGGGGCTCTCGCATGCTCTGTGGTGGGACCCCCCGGAGCACCCCGGTACCGACCCGTCCTCCTCGGGGATGTGTCACCCCAGGCTTCTAAGCCTCGGCTCTGCCTTTGCCTTGCGTGGGCATCACCCCCGGGGCAGGGCTGGGCTGGCGGGCGGGAGGGGGCTGCCGGGGGTCCCTTGGGGCGGCCGCCGAGCCAGTGCCGGCTGCAGCCTCCGCACAGACATTTAAATGAGAGGTCGGCGGTGGGAGAGGAGGAGTCCCGGCTCCTCCGAGAGCTTTTATCTTTTGCCCAACCCTCTGGAAGGCGGCTTTGGGGAGGGATTTTTTAATCATTATTTTTTGCTTTCTTTCTTTGCTTCCCTTCATTTTTGGTGATTCGTTTTTCCGGGCTCACATGGGAGTAGGTGGGAGATTCACCCCTGCCTGGAGACACCGAGGTGAGAACCTCCTGCCCCTAAATGCCTTGGTTTTCTGGCAGCACAGTCCCAGCCTGTATTGGATGAGAGACCCTCTGACTCCTCCAGACCACTCCACCATGCCCAAAAATAAGCCAGCTCCACAAAATGCATATTTCCCCCCAAAACGGTCCTGGGTAAGTGATGCACAGCCTGTGCCTCAGGCAAGGCTCCATCTCACGGGCCAGCCACCAGAAACGGCCCTGCCGCCAGAACGCCACCAGTTGGGAAGCCCTCAAGGTTCCGCTGTTCCAATGGGAGCAACAGCAGTGGAAAAACTCCCTGCACGCAGCGAGCTCTGCTGGGCTCCTCCAGCCGCAGAACAAGTCACTTCCATTCCCCAAACAATTGAAACAGGCTCCCACCCCCCCGTCCCCAAAGCCTTCCTGCAAGGCGAGCGCTGGAATAGAAAGCGGATGGCCAGGACCCGACGCCAAAAACTGTGTCGCAAACTGGGGGTTTCGTCAGCGAGGATCAGGCGGAGCTGGACCCATGGCTGTGTTCTGCCCACACCCCGAAACCTGCTGTGCTGGGGCTGCGAGGGTACAGCCCAAGGGGTGCACCCCATGGTGGCACGCAGCACCCTGCACCTCGATCCCAAATCCTGAGAGAAGCTGTACCAAACCCCAAGACTCCAGAATGTCGGTGCCTCTGCCTCAGAGCCTGGAGAGTGGCTGTGTGCTTGTCCAATAGCCCAAATAGGGCTGCATGGAGCTCTTTCTCTCCAAAAAGCCTCCCTTTGGGCATCCCCCAAATTAGGGCTCTACTGGGATCACAATTAAGCAGAGCTTAAGCAGAGCTTAACCTCGCTGCAGAGAGAGCTGCAGAGGTGACGCACCACTGGCTCCCCCCCACCCTCATCCTCATGCTGGGCATGGTGTTCAGTGGCACAGCCACAACCAAACCTGGGTGTCCCACACGGCAGCTGAGGGTCCTGAATGGCAGCTGAGGGTCCTGAATGGAAGCTGGGGGTCCTGAGTGGCAGCCAGGGGTCCTGAATGGCAGCTGGGAGTCCTGAATGTGAGCTGCTGGAGGTGACCACAAGGGATGCAGAAGGCACAAACCATCCCACCTTCCCTGACAGGCTCAGCCCTTCCTGATGCTCCCCGCAGCTTTGGGGACAGCCACCAGGATTGGGACCGGCAGCAGCCACCCCACTGGGACCCCAAGCTGTGGGAAGATGGGGACAGGCATCCCGGGCCTGTCTGGCAGAGAGGTGGGTATGTTGGAGGGGAAGCCCCCGTCAGGTTGGCACTGGGGAAGGTGGCACAAATGAGAATCAGAGCCGCCACATCTCCCAGGGCCGCACACATGTGTCAAGTTAAGCGTGGCTTTGGGAGCTGGCAGCACCGCCCTGAGCAGAGGATGGATTTGGGGAAGGCTCCCGCCGAGGCTCTGCAAGGGTCCAGGGAGGGAGGCAAAGTCCTGCCAGAGATTCCAGGGTGACTGTTTTTCCAAAGAGGATTCAGGCACCTTTGAGTGCTTTCTTGTCCAAAAAAAACATTTAGTGGGTACATCTCCAGAGCCAAGGAGAGCCAACAGCTCTGGTTGTCCCCTCCAGAAGCAGGGAGATCTGTGGACTTTCAGGCAGGAGGTGGGGGAACCAAAGCCCCCGCCGATGACCACGGAGGACACGGTGGGCTCAGTCTGCTCTTCAGCCACATTAATGAACAGTCTCCTGGTGAGGACAGGGATGGTGATG